AAAAAGAAGCATAGAATCAACTAGATCCACAGTTTACAGTTGGTGAAAAGGGGAGTGGCGGTTTAGTGGTTACGGCATAGAGCTGGAATCCTGAGGTTCTGAGTTCAAGTCCCACTCACACGGCCTGCAACTCTGGGTCCCTGAGCAAGACCCAGAACCCCACCCTGCTCCCCAGGCGCCGCACAATGGCAGCCCCCTGCTCCCTGAGGGGAGGGGTTAGAGGCAGAGAGGGAATTTCTCCACTGTGAGATCAATAAAGTTTAATTACTACCTTTAAACTTTGAGTCAATCTGACTGGATGATCTGGTTGGTTTTTCTCTGTAAAGTGACCTGAGATGACATGATGTGAATTGGAGCTATAGAAATAAACTGAATAGAATTGCAGTTTGAACACCATAGTTTCTATACCGTATATGAAAAGAACTCCAAAGTGATTTAAACATATTTAATTCTCCACTCGTAGCTCAGAGTTTTCTTCATGTTTCTAAACATCAACATTGAATGTTTTCAAGTAAAAATGGAATCATTGATCCACAGAGACGTTGGCTTTACCTGCTGCTTCACTCAGCCAAGAAAATCCAACCAGATCTACAGTCAGTTCTATTCTTTACATGTTGTCATTTTACAAGATAATAAAAAAATATGTTTTGAAAAAGAAAAGCATTGTTTGCATCCTGCTGACCAAATGGGAAAAAAACTAAACAAACAATCTTTATCTGATGTTTCATCTCTAGTAATGAGTAAAATAATAATGCTAAGAAAACTTGTTTAGCTAAAGGTTCATGGGTCTGGCTTTAGGAAAGCCTTTGTGTCCATAGCAGCGTGTTGCTGACAGCGTCTGCCGTTTACGCCGTAAACCAGGCTTTCCCTCTGATGAGGGTCATGAAGCATCAGAGCACGTTACTTTCCCAGAGAGCAGCGTCAGCCTCTAATCATGGCTGCACTTGTTCACAGAAGATATTATGAGATCACATGAGTGACAACTGAAGCTTAAGCCTCTTTAATCCAAAGCAGCAGGGAATGTAGGTCAGCTGGGCTAATGAAATATCTGAGACACACAGAAACACGTTTAGATGGAGTTTTATGCAAATCTGAGGCATTGTTCTTTAATTTATAACAGAATTCTGGTTTGTTTTTAGTTCTTTAAACAGAAAATAATGTTCATTTGCCACATGATGCATATTTAATCATAAATACTAA